ATACTGATACCAGGCAAAAGGGGAAAAATTAGCAAATGAAGAGAACAGGCAGTAAGTACTGTGAGCATCTATCAAGCTGTGTTTCCATTCCCAAATCTGTAGGGCTTCTCAACCTTGGCACTACTGAAATTTGGGATCAGATAATTCTTTGTTGTGGGGGGCTATTTTATGTATTGTAGGGTGTTAAGCAGCTTCCCTTCCTCCTACCCACTAGATGCAAGTAGCAGCCCCTAGTTTTGACAACCAGAATTGTCTCTAGACATTGTCGCATGTCCCCTGGGGGTCAAAATTGCCCTTGGTTGAGAACCACTTATAATAACCCTATGTATTTGGATTGATTGGCCCTGAGTGAAAACTAGATAGGGTAACTTGAACCTTCAACTTCCATAAAGATAGAAATGCTATAAAGACTTTCTCCTTTATGAGTTGAGGCCTCTCTAAACATAAATTTTTATTATTTCCGGAGAACAACAGCACTCCTTCCTAGATACTAGTCACCTGAAAAGCCTACTGGATGGGAGAGCTCACGTAGCATGCCTGTGAGAGGCAGGGTATATCACTGGCATAACTGAGAAACAACTTATGATGGTGAGGGAGATCTGATTTTCATGAATAATTGCTTTTTGCCATTGCTGTGACTCAACTTAGTATGTTTTGAATGTTTCTGAAAAGGAACACTATTTTGGGACATTGGCTTAAACTCCAAATTGGCAGTATTTTCCCCAGTGTCTCTTCTGGTATTCTTTTCTGGGTTCTTTCTCTCCTATCTTTTTTCAGTATCTAGCATTTCCAAACTCCTAGAAATATAATGCTGCTTAGAAAACCACAAACTGAGCTGTAAAACTAAGGAGGGAGAGTAGTATATTAAGAATTAGATTTCTCTACATTTTTTAAAGTTCTTGCATCTGGGAAGGCTTTGCTTAGTTTTTGAAGTACTAGACATAGCAGACTGAATTATTTTCAGGTACTCTTTGTAGATTTCAGGTAGCAGTAACTCAGGAAGATTGGCCTTATTTGATTCAGAATGTGTTATCTAGGCACATTATGTTTTCTAGTATCTTCTAAGATGCAGTTTCCTGAAAATTATCCACAGTAGTATCTTAATGACTGAGGTTGTGAGTTAGTGACTGATTTTTTTTTTCTTTAATTGTGTTTTAGGTGAAAGTTTACAGCGCAAATTAGTTTTTCATTCAAACATTTATACACAAATTGTTTTGTGACATTGGTCGCAATCCCTGCAATGTGTCAGCACTCTCCCCGTTTCCCTTTCTACCCTGGGTTCATCCAGTTTTCCTGTCCCTTCCTGCCTTCTCATCTTTACTTTTGGGCAGGGGTTGCCCATTTGATCTTGTATACTTGATTGAACTAAGAAGCACATTCCTCACATGTGTTATTGTTTGTTTTATAGGCCTGTCTAATCTTTAGCTGAAAGGTGGACTTTGGGAGTGGCTTCAGTTCTGAGTTAGCAGGGTGTCCAGGGGCCATAGTCTTGGGGGTTCCTCCAGTCTCTGTCAGACCAGTAAGTCTGGTCTTTTCTTGTGAATTTGAATTTTGTTTACATTTCTCTCTTGCTCTGCCGGGGACCCTCTATTGTGATCCCTGTCAGAGTGGTCAGTGGTGGTAGCCAGGCACCATCTACTTCTTCTGGGCTCAGGCTGGTGGAGGCTGTGGTTCTTGTGGTCTGTTAGTCCCTTGGACTAATATTTTCCTTGTGTTTTTGGTTTTCTTCATTTTCCTTTGCTCTGAATGTGATGGGACCAATAGATAAATCTTAGATGGCCGCTTGGAAGCTTTTAAGACCCCAGACGCTATTCACCAAAGTAGGATGTAGAACATTTTCTTTATGAACTATGTCATGCCAGTTGACCTAGATGTCCCCTGAGACCATGGTCCCCAGCCCTCAGTCCCAGTAACTCGGTCCCTCAAGGTGTTTGGATGTATCTAGGAAGTGTCTATGACTTTGCCTTGGTCAAGTTGTGCTGACTTCCCCTATATTGTGTGTTTTTCCCTTTACCAAAGTTACCACTTGTCTATTTAGTTAGTGATTCCCCCTCCCCAGGTTCCCCTTCCCTCGTAACCATCAAAGATTGTTTTTCTTCTGTGTGTAAGCCTTCTCTTGGTTTTTATAATAGTGGTCTCATACAATATTTGTCCTTTTGTGATTGACTTATTTCACTCAGCATAATGCCCTCCAGATTCATCCATGTTGTGAGATGTTTTGCAGATTCATCATTGTTGTTTATCGTTGCATTGTATTTCATTCTGTGTGTGTACCATAATTAGTTTATCCATTCATCTGTTGATGGACACTGAGGTTGTTTCCATCTTTTTGCTATTGTGAATAATGCTGCAGTAAACATGGGTGTGGAGTCAGTGACTAATTTTAGTGTCACAATATATAAATTTTTATATTTAAAGTTCTGCTTTATATCTTTTTAATACTTCCTTCCAGTAACCTGCTGTTCTGATTTTTCCTTGTGTTTCCCTAATTTCATTCTTTGATCAAATTTCTTCCTCCTCCATAATCCAGCCTTAAATTCTCTTTCCTCTTCCTGTGCCTTTTTCTTTTGAATTCATTACCTGATTCAGTCTCCACAATTGCTTTGCCTATGTACTTCCAAATTTGTACTTTGAAACCTAATCTCAAGAACATCAAACCCTTTAGATTCCAGGACTATTGAAATGCAATGTATTATGCTTTTCCTTGATTACTTTCCTACACACTTCTTGAAGAGGCTCTCAGAAATGTATGATCTTCCCTTGGAATGGATTTGTTGTTGTATACTTGCGTGGTTCAGCCTTAAGTACATAAGCTAATATTTGAAGGAAGCTTACTGTTAGTACTGATGAGTGATCGTGGTCATGAAAATTACACTCAGGGAAAAAACCAATTATCTGAAAACTTTTATAACTCTAGATATTAAGGCAACATAATTTTGAAAGTCTGAAATGTATATGTATATATAATACTCATATTTATGTTTTAGGTTTATTGTAGTGAAGGAAATCTGCCAATTATTCATCAGACAGTGTTAAATGCCCACCAGTGTATAAAAGAAATGTTTAAAAAATTTTTAATAGTTAAGGAGACAAAATTAATAAACATAAAATATTAGTGAACTGTGCATATAAAAAGGTATTGATTTGTGTAGAGACCTGACGACCTTGAGGGCTACCCTGGTTAGAATGATTTCATGAAGGAAGAAGAATTTGAAGATTATTTTGAAGAATGGGTAGTAGTATTTAGAGAGAAGGCAAGGGAACATTTTTAGAGAACAGGAGAAAACCTAACTAATAGATACAAGAAGAACCCTGGCCTAACAGGAGGAACATCTCAGATAGGGTGAACCCAATTGTGGTTCTTGTTCTGGTTGTACTTCACACTCTCTTATGGGGCTTTAAAATATGCAGATGCTTGGGTCCTACCTGCAGAAATTAAGAATTAGGTGTGGAGTGGGACTTGAGCAACTGCATTTTAAAAAAGTCTGCAAGTGATTCTGATTTGCAGCTAGGACCACTTCTAGGCTATAGAAAGCTGTTTCAGTTTCTTAGTTGTGAAGTAGGAAGGAAGTATTAAGATTAGTCTGGCTGGAGTGTGCAGAATGGATTAGAGGAAGCAAATTTGATGCTTTATGAAAGTCTTCAGTATTTTAATTGTGTGTGTGGGTGTGTGTCTGTTCATCCTGACTCCCCAGCTAGATCTCTCAGTTCCGTGAGGTTAGAACTATTTGCTTTGGTATGTATTTATTAATCTTGCGTTATGTGGCAGGCACTGAGCTACGTTCTGAGGATAAAAAAAACAAAAACAATAGCTTCTGTTCTCCCTCACAATCTATATTGGGAAGCAAACACATAAAAGAATAATACATTAGACAGTTTAGTGTCTTAAGTGTTCACTAAATTATGTTGCTGATTGTAGTAGTTCTTTCTTCTGATATAATAATTGTTGAATAAATGTGCGTCTTAGCTTGTAGAAACTATCTTTTAGTTATCTATAACATGACAACAAATGATCAAGGATTTGGTCCCTCAATTATAATTTAATAATTTTCCCTGTTGTACTGTCATTTCAGAGATATACTCAACCTGAAATTTGAGAGTAAGTCTAAACATATTTGAGCATTTCCTATGTGATAAGCCTGATGCTAGAAACTGCAGATACAGCACTGACCACTGATTGATCTTACAAGAGTATGTTCATTTCAACTTGGACTATTTATAACTGCCGGTTTTTTATAGTTTACAAAGTACTTTCACATAGTTAACTTCTCTGAGCCTTAGAACAGCACTGTGAGTTAAGCAGGGCAGGTGACATTCTATTTTATTGATTTGGGAACAGGCTCATAGAAGCTTTGGCCAAGGTCACCTGCTAGGAAGTGCCAGAACCAAAACTAGAACTCAGTCTTCTCTATATCACACTGAGTATGTTTACGCTTAATAGAATTTGTCAAGATCAAGATACTGCAAGCAGAGACAATTCACTAGAATGCAACAGTAGCTTTGTTAAATGGAATTTTAGCAATTTCTAGGGCGGTAAGATTCTTATCTAGTATTCCCATGACTAAGTGAAATATCTCAGAAATTGCAGTATTTTGGTAGAAGAATCCAGTTGCTAAGTGTAATGTCTTCAGAATATGGCCATAGATTGTTTCATATTCCCCCTTTCAAGAGGTGGAGCTTAATTCCCCTTCCCTGAGTGAGGACTGTACTTGGAGACTTCTCTAATGTATAGACTGTGGCAGATATGATGGAGTGTGACTTCTGAGGGTAGGGTATAAAAGACATTGTGGCTTCTGTTTTGCTCTTCCTCTGGAATCAATTGCTCTAAAGCAAGGTTTCTCAGCCTCAACACTATTGATATTTGGGGCAGATAACTCTTTGTTGTGGGGTTGTCCTGTACATTATAGTATACTTAGTAGCATCCCTGGCCTTTACCCACTAGATGACAGTAGCACCCCTCCCCCAAGTTGTGACAGCCAAAAATGTCTCCAGACATTGCCAAATGTTCCCCCCCGGGGTGGGGGTGGGGGGTTGGCAAAATCACACTCTGTTGAGAACCGCTGCCTCAAGGGAAGTCAGCTGCCATGTTCAGAAGACACTGAAGCAGCCCTATGGAGAGGCTGACACAGTGAGGAACTGAGGCTTCCTGCCAACAGTGAGCCATCTTTGAAGTGGATCTACCAGCCTCAGTCAAGCCTTCGGCCAACGTCTTGACTGTAGCCTCATGAGAGACTGCAAACCAAAACTACCCAACTAAACCATACACGAATTCCTGACCCACAGAAACTATAATAAATGTTGTTTAGGCCACGAAGTATTACCATAAAAATACACATATAAGGCTGATAGTTACCGACTGAAAAAATACCAAAACTTGTGAAGACACATTAACACCTGCCATGTACATCTATAGTCATGTTTATAGCATATGTATGTAGGGTGCTTTTCTGGATAGGGGAGTTCATGGGTGGTGAAGACAGTTAACACTCTTAGCTGCTAACCAAAAGGTTAGAGGTTTGAGTTCACCCAGAGGTGGCTTGGAAGAAAGGCCTGGTGATCTACTTCTAAAAAATCAGCCATCAAAAATGCTATGGAGCACAGTTCTACTCTGCACACATTGGGTCACCATGAGTTGGACTTGACGGCAACTGGTTTTTCTGAATAGGAAACCTATGAATACTATTACTATTTTAAAAAAGCCTTTTAATTGTAGCAGCAAGGCAAAATTGATTGATGGTAATACTAAATTGTTACAGTGCAATATATAAAACCAGACCAATTGCCTTCAAGTCGATTCCGACTCATAGTGTCCCTATGTGGTTAGTCTAATATTTCAGATTTGCTTGAAAGGAGTTTAAAAATTAAGGGATAGCTATTCAAAAACATTTGTTATTGAAATTTTCAAGCACACAAAAGTAGAGAAAATGTACCCATAGTGATAACATTCTAATGAGGCTTTGGAAAATAATCCCTTTTAAGAGAAATAAAGTAATCCACATGTAATATTTTTGCAACAATACGGGATAACCATTGCTCTTGATGGAGAAGTATATCATTTCACATTTGCAATCAAAGAAATATGTTAACTGACACCCACGTAACTTTTAAAGCTTCAGTGAAGAAATATAAAATCATTCTATTTTCAAATGGAACTTGTAGCAGATAAAGATTAATGGCATTTCACATTTTAATCACAACATGGTTTTGGATTTTTAGATTGCATATCTAAGTGAATTTCCACATTGTTTGAATATAAATTTTCATCAATCCTAGTGAAAACTGAAGCAGCTGTGAAAAACATTTTTGCTGTAGTAATTTAGAAGCTTTTGCAGTAGGAATTGAGCCAAATGAGGAATGGTAAGTATCTGGCATGTGTGCTGCCATTTTCTGAGTCCCAGGCCCATGGCTAATGTTCCTAATAAATCTTATCACAATTACTTTTTCCTGTCTGTATGAGATTTTTATGAAAATACTGAATTTGCATTAAAGTTCTTGAACCGTAAATTTGTAAGGCAAAGTAAGTGATCAATTAAATGACTGTTTTCTCCATTCTGGGCTACTTCCCTATTGATAAGGTTTTTCAAATCTCATTTAGGCTTGAAGGCTCTTTGAGAAGAATTTTAGAAACTGGAAAACTGAGGATTGCTTGTATTGCATCTACTTGTAACCATTGTGTTAATTACATCTGATGTTCTTCCTGTGGATGTGAACGTTTTACTGTAAGAAATTAACTTCCATTTGAAAATACTATATACAGTGCAAATAGAGTATGAAATCATTTTTTAAAATCAAAGTGTTCGGTAGACATTAAAACAAGGTTTTTGAGAGTTAATGGAGATATTGAAAGAAGGCTAACAGTGTTTCAAGTGTCAGATGTTTTTGAGTGTTAAGAGTCAATTTTAAATTCCTCGCTACTCTAAAGACAGTTTTTTGAGGTTCCTGAATAAAAACTTCCAGTTTTTGCAGAAAGTTGCTTTTTATTTTCATGATGTTATATTTAAAACAGAGGGATAGAAAATCAGCATCAGAACTACAGTGATACTTGCACATTTATCTGAATTTAGAAGGAACAAAAACACATTTCTATAGATTAGGGTGAGAGATGTGCAGAATAATATTTCTAGTAGGGTATTTATTAAAATTTCTATCAGGTGTTAAATAGATAAAGAAAAAATTCAAAGTTAGTAGTCTAAATTAGTTATTTAGAAGGCAGATTTGAAGGCCATTATTAATTAACCTGATTCAGTTGGAAAAAGCCTCAAATTGTGTAATCTGGACAAGTTTTTGCATTTTTTTTTTTTTGGCAGGTTACTATATTTTATGCCTGTAATGTGCACATTATACGTTTGTCAACTGTACAACCCCTCCTTGTTATTTTCGTAAGCGAGCTATGCCGCGTGTTATTGTGTGGGCACATGTGGGTGCTTTATTTGCAAAAATGTGGTATTTCTTCCCAGTTAGATATTTTAATGAATTTGATGTACTAAGGAGCCCTGGTGGTGCAGTAGTTAAGCACTTGGCTGCTAACCGAAAGGTCGGCGGTTCGAACCCACCAGCCACTCCATGGAAGAAAGATGTGGCAGTCTGCTTCCGTAAAGATTTATAGCGTTGGAAATCAGATGTGGCAGTTCTACTGTGTCCTGTAGGATCACTGTGAGTCATAATTGACTCGACAGCACACAACAACAATGAGAATTTGCTAATTCAGTGTAACTATAGATTTGAATATATTTAAATATGTCCATTAATTTCCAAAACTAAATAAAAATTGTTTTGTTTTCTTGATCATCTTTGCGGGCTTATGTTTGCTTATTGACATCTTTTGGGGATTAAAGAAGCCATCCATGACCATTGAAAGAAGCTATAAAATAACTTATGATCCCTACAAATTCATCAGAAGACTTGCCAGATGATTGCTCATTCTTCATTCTCTTGAAAGAAGACCCAAATTATTTTTTGAGGAAAATCCTGGTTCAGTCATTTGTTCTCTCAAGTTCTGTCTCTTTCTGGAGGTGGTGTGACCTACTATTCAAGTACTTGTCCTGGTTAGACGAGTACCTCATCTTTCTTAAGAGGTTGTCTCCCCTCCTCTATCCACCAACTCAGCTTACTGTTAAAGCATACTGATCTGCCCTTCACTTTGCAGTATAGGAAATCTGCCAGCCAAGTGCCAGCTGTAGAGCATAGACACAAACTCCCTATATCTCTATACCTATCAAGAGCTCTCTGCTGCAAAAGACCTCTTTAAAATGTTAAAAAGCAAAGATGTCACTTTGAGGACTAAGGTGCGCCTGACCCAAGCCATGGTATTTCAGTCACTTCATATGCATGTGAAAAGTGGACAATGAATAAGGAAGACAGAAGAAGAATTGATGGCTTTGAATTATGGTGTTGTGAAGAATATTGAATATACCATGGACTACCAGAAGAACAAACAAATCTGTCTTGGAAGAAGTGCAGCCAGAATACTCCTTAGAAGCGAGGATGGCAAGACTTCGTTTCACGTACTTTGAACATGTCATCGGGAAGGACCAGTCCCTAGAGAAGGAAATCATGCTTGGTAAAGTAGAGGGTCATTGAAAAAGAGGAAGACGGTCAACAAGATGGATTGACACAGTGGCTGTAGCAGTGGACTCAAACATAGCAACAGTTGTGAGGATGGTGCAGGACTGGGCAGTGTTTTGTTCTGTTGTACACAGAGTTGCCGTGAGTCAGAGCCGACTCAATGACACCTAACAGCAGTAATCAGAGCTCGGTTTATAGAAATGATCTTTGGAGGATTGCCTGAAAAATACGGAGCTTATTATCTATTTCTGTTAAACACACTTGAGATTTCCTGTTATTCTGTCAGCGAACAGCACACCATGTTATTTTTTTTTAATAACATACCCCCCCCCGCCCACTGATAAAAAATTGTATTTTGGCTTTATGACAACAGCCTACACTGAGGGATCCTCTAAGAAAAGAATCAGCTGAAGTTCACTATTATGTTTTTGTAAGGATGTTGATTAGAATATTTTCACCACATTATACAGTGTCCCGTTCATGATGATGCCCAAGAACTTTTTCTGGCTATATTACAGGAATAATTATGCCTGTCTTCAGTTCTCTTGAGTAGCTGGTTTGTTTTCATTATAGGGCTCCTGTGACTCATGTCCAAACTGGTTGTGTTCTCTTTGCGATGACTTTAGTGGACTCGAAGTCAAATTTGAGGCCCACCTCTAACGGGTATTTAGAACGGACTTCATGGTATACATTTGTGTGCTAACCTTACCCATATAAAACCCATTGCCATCAAGTCAATTCTGACTCATAGCTACCCAGTAGGTCAGAGTAGAACTGCCCCATAGGATTTCTAAGGCTGTAAATCTTTACAGAAGCAGATTGCCACATCTTTCTCTTGCTGAATGGCTGGTAGGTTTGAACTGCCAAACTTGGGGTTAGCAGCCCAGCACTTAACCACTGTGCCACCAGGGCTCCTTCACGCATATAGGCTTTCTAATTTGTCTTATTTTTATTTTCTCTTAATCACTTACTGTTTTGTCAGGTTGTGTATATACAAATGCAAGCTGGTTTAAATCCATAGTGGAATAAATTTCAGCATACGTAAATCAATTTAGAAGTTAAATAAAATAAAATTATATTAGAATATATTAAGAATCAAGTAAATATGTCACACCATATATGAAAATTAACTCAAAATGGGTCAATGACCTAAATATAAAAACTAAAACCATAGAGGTAAAGCTTCAAGGCCTTGTTTTTATAATGGATTCTTAGATATGACACCAAAAATACAAACAGAAGACAAAATAGATAAATTGTACTTCATCAAAATTAAATCCTTTCGTGCATCAAAGATCTTTATCTAGAAAGTGACAAGACAACCTACAGAATGGGAGAAAATATTTGGGAACCATATATCTGTTGAGAGTTTAATATCCAGAATATATAAAGAACTTCTACAACTCAACAAGACAAAATGGACTAAGTACTTGAATAGACATTTCTCCAAAGAAGATACACAAATAGCCAATAAGCACATGAAAAGATGCTCAGTCATTAGTCACTAGGGAAATGCAAATCAAAACACAATGAAATACCACTTCACCCTGGCTATTATCAGAAAAACAGAAAATAACCAGTGTTGGTGAGGATGTGGAGAAATTGAAACTCCTGTGCATCGTTGGTGGGAATGTTAAAATGGTGCAGCTGCTGTGGAAAACAGTTTGGCAGTTCCTCAAAAAGTTAAACATAGAATTACCATATGACCCAGCAATTCCACTCTTAAGATATATACCCAAAAGAATTGAAAGCAGGGTCTCAGTTACTTGTATGCCAGTGTTCATAGCATTGTTATTCACAATAGCCAACAGATGGAAACCACTCAAGTGTCCATCACCAGATGAATGGTTATACAAAATGTGGTATATACATACAATGGAATATGTGTAACCCCACTTACACGAAATATCTAGAGCGGGAAAATACATAGACACGAAAGATTTTTAGTGATCAACAGCTGGAGAGAAGGGGAAATGGGGAGTTATTGCTTAAGGGGTACTCAGTTTCTGTTTGGGGTGATGAAAAACTTTTGGAAATGGGTAGTGGTGATGGCTGCGCAACTTGGTGAATGTAATTGATGTCACTGACACAAATGGTTGAAATGGCAAATTTTTTGTTATATGTATTTTACCACAATAAAATTTTTTTTAAAAATCAAGTAAACCAAGTTTTTTTTTTTTTTTGGGGGGGGGCAATTAGAATGTGTAACAAAATATTTAACTTTATTTAGTGAATATTATTATGTGCTAGGCATTGGATTCAGTTAGCAATAAATGAATGACAAAAATGCCATCCTACTATTCTAATACTAAATCCGTTGCCTTTGAGTCAGTTCCGACTCATAGCAACCCTATAGGACAGAGTAGAACTGCCCCCATGGTTTCCAAGGTTGTAATTTTTATGGAAGCAGACTGCTACATCTTTCTCCTGCAGAGTGGCTGACGGATTCAAACTGCCAACTTAGGTTAGCAGCCCAGCACTAAATCACTGTGCCACCAGGGTTCCTCTGGTATAATATTACTATTAGTGAATTTTTATTTCTTTTCCTATAATTTTATTTTTTTACCGTATCAGTGATTTTATAAAACATGAATGTTATAACTTTGGAAGGCTTCATGTGAATTTATAGTCGTGGAAAAAAACTTGTTAAGCCATGTATCCTGAATTTTGGTTTGGAAACCTGCATCATAAAGATAATTCCATTTTATGATGTTGTTGGTGAAAACAAGGTTTTACTTGTGGCTCTAGTTTTTAAAATGTACTTCAAAGGAGTCTTCCCAACTGGCAGTTCTAGTGGGTGAATCATTATTATAAAGGCAAAACCATAGCTGATCCTAGGTTGTCATTATTCCTGAGACCAGCTTGGCATTCTGGAAAAACACTGAGCATTGGAATAGACAGATCTGGATTTGAATCACAACTGCATACTAGTTATATGACCTTGAGTGAGTTATAATATTTCAGACCCTTGGTTTCTTATTTTGGATAGTAAATATTAAAAAGTAAATTTATAAAGAGGAATTGATGCTTTTGAATTATGGTATTGGTGAAGAATAATGAACATACCATGGACTGCCAGAAGAATGAATAAATCTGTCTTGAAAAAAGTACAGGCAGAATGCTCGTTAGAAGTGAGGATAGCAAGACTTCATCT